TTCTTCCCAGAGGCATAGAAAGAATTCAAGCATCCATATTTTGCATCTTGTCTTTCTGCCTGAGGTGGCTGATTCAGGTCAAGTATGGACCAAATCTAGGACAAGAAAGGACAGAGCAGAAGTGCTCTGGGCAGGACAATGGGGGATGCTTGCCAACAAGGAGGTGTCTGGTGTCCTAACAAGATGTGAGGCTCACGCAAAGCACTTTCTCTAAAGGTTTTCAGCATCACTCTGGTGTCTGCCCTCACACAAGCACACATGTGGTCACGCACACAGACACCATACGGCCTTGCAAGCAAGAAATGTGTCTCCTGTAGCATGAGCAGGAGGGCTTTCTGTAGACATCAAACCCTCCCACCCGCCTCACTTTCTGAGCCTTTCTCTGCTTTTGGGTGTGTGAGCCCAGCTGCACCCACAGGTACCGTCTCTGCAGAGATTTACTGTTGGAAGTGGCAAGTACTTGGAGATGCCAACTTTCTCCTGGCAGTGGGGCCTGCCCAGCCCTTCCACCTGGGATTTATCCAGAGATAACAGCTTTTAGTCACCCACAGCCTGGCAGTCACCCACGGCCCAGGCATCCAGCTCTGCTGGAACTCCCGAGACAGTGGTGGCCCCATCTGTCTCCAGAAGAGGGAGTTTGTGCTTCATCCTCTTCTCTAAGCATTTGCACAGCTTGAAATGCAATGGAAAAATTCAAGAGCTGCTTTCTTTTCTTATTCCTCACAGCAGCCACTCCTTCTTTCCCTGGACCCCTAGAGCAATGACCATGCTTGTGATTTGTATCAGGAGTCAAAGTGAAAAAAGAAGCTTTATTTTCTAAGCAGCACGCGGTACCCAGGCCTGAGCACTTCATTTATACTTACCTGGCCACCAAAGGAGACAAGAGGCTGGGATGAAGGCTAGGGGAAGCCAAGCAGAAGACTAGTGGACATACAGACAACACAACTCAAAAATGCTCCTGACGGGAATAGGTGGTGGTGCACATCTGCATTCATAGTGCTTGAGTCTAGGCAAGGATGTTTTTGAACTCATCCAAACCTCAGAGCTGGTCTTGCAGTCCCACAGACACACGATAATCATAATAGATCCCAGTATGACTTTTTGGATGCTATGTAACGCTTGGTGCAGATCTGAGAAGTGTCTCAGCCATGCAAAGTGGGCATAAAGGTGTGAATAATTGGTATGAGGTACCAGCCTGGACCACTGGGCACAAAGAGGGTGGTCAATGGCTCAAAGTCTACCTTGGAGGCTGGCTCAAACATCTGCTCCTCAGTCTTGGTGCTGAGTACAGAACCCAGGGCAGCCTCAGAGCCTGTGGAGCAGCACAGAGGGAGAAGCCAGAGTCGAGCCATATGGATCTGGTCACGATGTCCATTAGAAGACTCTCAGCCCCAGGGCTGGAGAAAGCCATCATACATCACTCAAGCAAGGAATGCTGGAATTTTCCAAGGACTCAAAGGAGCAGCAGCACTGGCACTGTGCTGGTGTGGGTCCTGTCTGAGACATCAGTGGCATCTGGGATGTGGGTCAGAGGTTTTCTGTACCACCTTCAGTGGTGACACAATGGCAACAGAGGTCCACAGCAAAGGCAGCGAAGTCAAAATGGGCAAGGAAAAGAGCCCACAGGAGGAAAAACTGAGCATGAGTTCAACAAGGGGCAACTGAGAGGAACTGAAATGGCTACAAAGACAGAACCTTCTGCACGCCACAGTCACAGGAGAAAAGAGATGAGAGGGATCCTCCGCCTCCTGCAGAGCATGGAAACACCCAGTGCAGGGTGTGCGCAGGTGGACTCACGTCAAGCCACCAGCTTCTTTCAGCTCCTTCAGCTGTGACAGCTTCCTCCAGAAGAATCTCGGGATGCAAAGGCAGGTTGCAGTGCAAAAGGGAGAGAATCCCAGAGCAGCTCCTATTCATGGAAAAAGGACCCATAAAGTGAAGAACTGGGTCCTTCACCACCTTCCCAGCAAGGAAGGATCCTCTCAGGTGTGTGGTCAGATTTTGTCTTCTACCTGAAGATCACCACATCAGAGATCTTGGGCTCTGGCTGAAGAGTGGGGTCAGCAAGGTGGTCCAAAGTACCCCAAGCATGTGCTGGCAACAGGAACCTTCCAGAAAAAAAGCTTCATGCGGTGGAAATGCTGAATTATGCAAACTGACAGACTTCAACCACGACTACCCTTTCACACCGTGTTTCTCTACGCAGCAAGACTTTCTTCAGCTCCATTTTCTGCCTTCCCTTCATAAAATTGTTCACGTGAAGAGATGCTGTGAGAGCCAGTACCAGGTTACTCCACCCATTCAGAAGTCCACGACCAATGATCCTTGCCGATACCCTCTGACTCTCCCCACACTGGACTGGGCACTACTGAGGAGGTCACATCAAACCAGTCTGAGCACTTCAAGGATGGCCCCTCGCCCCAGACACTGTCTTCGTTCCAGTGGGGCTGCAGGGGTCCAGTTCTGCCCACCCGCCTGGGCAGCCACCAAGCCCTCCATGGCTTCCAGACAGGAGAAACACTTGTCCCAGCAGCAGGAGGTTTGGCAGTAGGAATTACCCGGGCTCAGTACTCTTAGATCATGGGGACTTTGCAGACATGGACTGCTCTTTCCGAAACAAAGCAGCCTGCAAGGCATCAGCTTTGGTGATGCCCAGAGCGTGGGCACGGCCATCTCCCCTGGCTGGGACAGTGTCCTGAGCCACCAGAACCTCTCTCTGCAGCCAACATTGCTCACCTGAGGCAGTCCACGAGTGCAGAGGCCTCAGCAGTCCTCCAGAGAAAGAAAAGCTATCCAGGTCTCCTACACCTTTTTTTTTAAAAAAAACAAACCTTAGCATAAATCACTTTGACAGCTGCTTTTCTCTGCGGAGCTGCCTCCTCCTGGAGGAAAGGCCTGGAAGCCAGGAATTTCAACAGCTTTTAATGAGTCTTCCCATTCACGTCTGGCCTTACAAAATGAAAATAACAAGGTCACAGTCGCATCCTAGTTTTATTACAACTGACCTGCAGGTGAAAGGATAGAACTCTTACATAAACACTCTGAGCCACATATAAATCTTAAGCAGTGGAGGAAGTAAACCAGGATACCAGATAAAATATTCTGAAGCTCTTTGAAGCGGTTATGTTCCTGAGCCCCGTTTTACAGACAATAAGGCAACATCCCTGCACATGAGCTTTTTGATAATTTTTATGCATTTTCCTATGGTACAAACAAAAAAAAATAACCAGAGTTCACAATGTACAGTTCTTACATTATTTTCACAGCTTGTGAACACTAGACACCTTTTTTTTTTATTTTTTAATAAAGGTAAATTGCAATAAATGGTGCACCCTTTATAATAATCTGTATTTCACATGCTACACCTGCCACAGCCCTTCAAGCCTGACCTGGCCACTTCAGGTTTCCATTTCCCGTTCACCAGCAGCAAACTGGTGGAGCTACGGAGGAGGAACTGGTGGGGTTGCCAAGGAGAAGCTCTGGAGTGTGGGCAGGGCAGTGCCCAGGGCCCAGCTGGGCAGGCGTCACCTTGGAGGGGCACCAATTTGTGGTGGGCTCCATCTAAGCGTGAGCCCTCTGGAAGGTGTCTCAGCTGCTGTCACTGGGGTGTGACCTGGGCTGCAGCGACTGGGAGGGGAGGGAAGAGGCAGAGCGTCTGGCCTTACTGGCCCTGACTCGCTCTGGTCCCCCAAGCCTCCCACCCGAGAGACTCAGGGCACCTGAGGTCCTGCTACAGGTGGTTGAAGGCTGGTGAGATGAATTTGGATTTGCCAAGCCTGAGAAAAGCCATGTTTTTTGAGTCTGCAGGGCTGGGGGGAGAATTACCTCTTTGGATTCGCTATGCTTCTCGTTCAATGGATCCTTCCACATGATTCTCCAGAGCAGTTGGGAATGACCAGTTGTTTCAGAAAGCCTGCCATGTCCATTTTGGGAAGACTTTAGCGCCTGCCTGGCCTGAGGAGTATCCCCGGAGGGAGATCACCCCGGGTGGGCAGGAGGCCTCACCTCCCTGCCCAACGGGGAACCCCTCGGCACTCTCCTTTCCCCGGTCGCCAGTGCTCCCACACCTGCCCCATTTGTGCTGGGCAGCACTGGTTTGAGGTGAGGAGCCTGTTCCCTGGTGCCCCTGTTCTCATTCCCAGCATCTCCAGCCCTCTGCCTCCTGGGTCCAGTTGTGCCGCAGAGCTGTGACAGTAGTCGCTCTAACAGTGATGAAGTCCTACCAAGTGCCTACACTAGACAATTCAAAATGGAAATCAGAGACCCAGCAGCCTCCATCATACCCTGGTATGCTGCTAAACGCCTGAAAACTGCAATGTTTCGGAAAAAAAATAATTCAGGAACAATTACTCTTTGAAAAATATGTCAATTTAAAAAAAAAAAAAAAATGACTGATGCACTTTTTTACTCAGCAGAGGGTAAGAAGATGACACTTGCCTGGCGGTGCCAGGTCAGCTCAAACCCCACAAGGCATGAGACACTCCCTTGTCTCCATCTGCAGCAAACAGTCTCGGGGAGGTTCGCTGCAGGGTGCTGTAACAACAAACACAGAGGGTCCCAAAACAGGTTAAATGCGCCCAGAAGGTGGTGAATAAGGTCTCCAGAAAAGCTAAGCAGAGCGTGGCACTGGCAGACGTGGGCAGCACAGAGCCCCGGTGCGGTGGGGACATCGCAGAGGGGACAAACCAAGGGGGACATCCCGGGTAGGGGACAGCCCCGCCGTCCTGCTGGCTGCGAGGAGGACACACCGAGGTTTGCTCTTGCGAGGGACACTGGGCTGGGAGGTGGCAGCAGAGCCAGGCCAGTCTCGGGACAGTGAAAATACACCAGCATCAGGGCTGGGGACAGGGAAGAACAGGAGAAACACGGGGTAGAAATCACAGACAGTGGCTTGCGGCTCATTAAAGCAGCTGCAGACTCTGAGAACGGCACTCATCGAGGTCAAAGCAAAGCCAGCTGGTGGTGAGCGCTGTGCAGCTACAAATCAGGTCACAAGCAGGTTAAATTCAATTGAGTAGTTTAATAATTCTTCAGGTCAAAGGTCTTATCTTACCAGGTAACAATTTACAGGACACCTAGTTAAGAGTGAAGAGTGGCTGGCTTGGTAAAAGGAGAAAGAATACATTATGTCCCATCTCTGAATAGTTTAATGTTAGCCTCTTTCAACGCAACATATTTTTGGTAAAGACATATTCACTATATTTAACATGATCTCTCTTTAACAGGAAGTTCAGCTGAGCACACTGTCCCCAGAAAGTACACTGCGACTGTAAAGCAACAGAATTTCATAGCAGTAAATCTATTGCACTTTGTGAAGAATAAAATTCTCCTTTGCCTTTCCAGCTCCAGAAGGCAAAGCATCTCGTTGGTTAAGCAAGTTCTTCTCCCTCCAGGCAAAGTCTCTTAATGTTCAGACAGACAACGCCTAACTTTTGTTTGTTTGCTTTTTATTATTACTTGAAACAACAATTGGAAGAGTTTGAGAGAAAAATCTTTCCAGTAGCTGCTGAGAAGTCTCCAAGTTTTGAGTCTAGAAATGAATTTTAGGTGCTATCCAATCACGGTCAACAAATAAATGTACTTATTTCCACATTTCATGAATATGTCCACAAAAGAGCAAGATGAGGTCTCTCTTTGACCAACACTAACACTGTGTGATCAGGTATTACAGGGATGCACTTTATATGTGACAACAGTATACAGACAGGATGGAAATAACACCAATATTATTGCACATGGTGTTTGGGCGAGCATTAAAAACACTGCAGTATGTGATGAAAATTCTTTACAGCTTGTTTTCTCTCAGCCCTTTTTCTAGAGTTTGATGTAGCAGCAATATCAATCGACGTACATTGGAGAGCTGGGAGTTGCTGGCATTTGATCCAGGATTTTACAGACATAGCATGCAACATCCACTGTGCGTTCCTCATACATCAGGATGAAGGGATGTTTCTGGAACCAGACAAAGAGACAACAAGGTTACGTTCACCCTTCTGATATGTGCTGGCTACCCCAGAAAAAAGCTCAGCATATGGATTTGCCCACGCAGGCCTTGGTGGGCAGTAGGACATAGCCTGGTCCATGGCTTCTACATATGGGGACTCCATAACATGCAGCAGGGAGGTGGGACGGGGCTCCAGGGGTGTCAGAACTTCTGGGCAGGAGGGCGCAGTGTCAGCAGCACCTGGCTCCTCCGTAGCACGGGCATGCACCGAAATACTGTCAAGACAGATCTCACTGTCAGCCTTGTCAGCAGAGGGGAGACAGGAGTGAGACGGCTTGCAGAGCTCAAACAGAAGATCAGGACACAAGCCCAGTTCTCAACCCTGACACTCTGCTCTGCCCAGGGGACCGCTCTGGCTGAACCCAGCTCTGAGCAGCGGGGAAGCAGCGACAGGGTGACTCTGGGGCAGGACTCCAGGCAAATGCCTTTTCTATCACACCACCACCAGCAGGGACCCGGACCCGGGTTGTGGTTTCACACATCCCCTGAAGAGGTGGCTTCCAGATGCCCAGAGCTCCTTGAAGGTGCCTGGCTGTCAACCAGGCCAACCGAAAGGCCTCACTGCGTTCCCTCCTTTAGGACCCCCCATGGCAGACAGGCTCTGCTGGTGTCTCACTCCAGAGCCGTTCTTTCAAGTCTCTCTTTTGCCTGAGCCCACCCATCCTCCTCATGTGGCCTGTGTGCTGGAAGCATTTACACCTCACAGCAGTTCATCAAGGCTCCTGCACAGTACTGGGACCTCAAGCACATGGCCACCCGGCCTGCATCTGCCCACCTCAGGGACCACTGGCCCACCGCTGCGGGGCACATCCCCCCATCTCCTGTCGTTATGTACGGCCAGTAACTACGGTGGCCACTGCCATGACCACAGGCCAGAGCAGGTGGCACGGAGGTAGTGTTCTTCCTTGGTCTGTGGAGCTGAACACCCCACCTTGGTGGCCGAGAAGATGAGGAGCGAGCTCGGGCGCGCGACCCAGCTCTGCTGTGTGACTAGCAGAGCCGCGACGGCCAGCGCTGGCAGCCACGCTTCACACTCACCAGAAGCTCCTTATACTTTGGCCTTTTGGACTCGTCCTTTGTAAGGCTAAAGAAAGCAGAAAGAGAATTAGGAGGAGGTGGGATTGGGGTAGTTGTTACAGATGTCAAATGCAAATTTTTACGGGACACAACATGGAATCCGCTGCTGTCATGGTGGGATTCACCACCTCCCACACCAGGCAATACCAAGAATGTGTTTTCTGGAAAAAATATCCTTGTCATGCTGTGAGTGACCACAAGTGCAGCCACCAATGAATCCTGCTGGGGATGGAGCCCAAAGGAGCTGCAAGTGGAAGGGCATCCCGCCTGTCGCTGCCATAGGGAAATGGGTCTGACTGCAGCATCACCACGAGTTCTGGCCTGTCCTCCATCCACGGGACAGAGGGGCTCAGAGGCAAACGAGGGGCAGGACGGCCTGTCGGGGCACAGACAGGTGACATGGGCACCCAGTGGGCAGGTGCTGGGGCTGCAGCACCCAGTGGACCCCTAAACCGTTGTGTGGGTCCAGGTCTGGGCTCCTGGGCCCTCCCAGCTCATCCCCAGCACTGGTGGCACGTCCAGCACTGAGCAGGCCACAGCCACCCGGAAGGGACAGGAGAGGTGACATGGCTGCCCAGGGGTGGCTGGGGAAAGGGGGGCCTGGATGGCAAGCGTCCCCTCCTGTGGGGCTCCACCGGCATCTGACCACCTGCCAGATGCCCAGCCCAGCGCAGGGGGATGGCAGTGAAGGCCACCCAAGCCCTGCACAGGTGACATGGCGGGGGACAGGAGAGGTGACAGGGACTGGAAGCAGAGGGGCTGCAGGATGGGGCTCGGCAGCGCCAGCCCCGGGAGCCAGAGCTGCTCTGCTGGGAGGAGAGAGCGGGGCTGTAGTGTCTTGTCCAAATGAGGGGAGTTAAGGCTCACTCCCAACAGCGGCTTCTCCATCCCCACTGGCTCTGGCTGAACCTTTCTCAAGCTCTAGCACTACGACTGTGCAGCCTCAAATTAATCAGAGAAGTAGAGGGTAATTAATGCTGCTCCCTGGCACTGCTTGGTCCTGTTACCTGCCTGCAGAGCTGCGCAGGGGCAGGGAGGGCTGTGGCAATAACACCCTGGCTTCAAGCTTTTGCTACCCAACAGCAATTCATTTCCTAACCTTGGTGAGTTGGGCGTTCGAATATGCTCCTCACAACACCTTTAAGGCAACTAGTCAGACCTTCAGCTCACAGAGAAAGTGTTGCTCTGAAATTTCTATGCACACTTCCATAGAATCACAGAATGATGCAGGTTGGAAGGGACCTTAAAGATCACCCAGTTCCAACCCCCTATCCTGGGCAGGGACACCTCCCACCAGACCCACCAGTTCTGTCATTCTGTAACTATGAAAGTTAAAATTGTCTAGAGCTGAGTGTGACTGTCACAGAGCTTTGAGCCAGACACCCCTGTTCTAGGGATGCCCATCACCTGGGTCAGGAGGTCCCAGAAGAGGAATGCAGGTCACACTGGCGGATCATCTGTGTGCTCTCGTATTGGGTTAACAGAATTATGTTGACCACCTTTCACATTTTGATAGAAAAGTACTCCAACAGAAAATTCACAATGAACCCTTAACCTAAGCGGGACCACACACTCGGGGCAGGCCCATGGACGGCCCCGAGCCCCTCCTGCACAAACCCTGCCACACTCCCCATCCAAGGCTGACCATGTCCCATTCCAGGGCCCTGCCTTCTCAGAAAAGCACCTCTACTCTTGGTCCTGACATAGGATTGATACAAGACATGAAGCCAACAACCAAGCAAGGTCCTGACCCTCACTGTGCTGAGCAGAATGGGGTGGGAAGGCTCCTGGCTTTGCCAGGCAAATGGCGGGACCAGTACAGATCCTCAGCCCAACCACAAGACAATACTGCCGGGTGTCTTGGGCTTCTGCCTGCAGAAGAAAGGGCAAACAGCAGGTCTGTCCCAAGGCTGTGTCATACCGAGAAACAGGATGCACAGGCCAGGCCCTTACTGGGTCACACAAACCTCCTGCCATGGGTCTTATCAGGCTTCCCCTAAACACACTCTCAGCAAAGGTCTGCCCTTCAGCCCCCACCCAGACAAGTCTCCCATCACTCCCAAACAGAGAAATGTGAAATGGGAAAAGTCCTCACCCTCACGTTGGCGCAGGAATGTGAAACTAAGCATTGCCAAATACCTAGCAATGACAAAAGAAGCCAACTCCAAGTGCTTTCAATAGGAAACACTTACCACAAGTTGACGAAGTTGATGAAACTTGGGGAGAACTCCCGTTCCTCTGAGTTGCTCAGCTGTGGTGGGTCTCCTTTTACTACTTGTGTCAACTGGTCAAACACACTGTTCCACTTGGGGTAGGGGAATCGCCCCGTGGCCAGCTCATACTGCAGAGACAGCAACAGCACCAGGCAGGTTACACAAGGTAAGTTCAACTGGGGTAAGAAAATGTCTGCCAGGACCCTGAACCTCCCAAAAGGAAGACTACGATGAGATTCTTCATCCCATTCTCTACACGAAGCTCAGCTGAGAGGAGGGGAAGTTTTACCCAATAGCAAGTTCTGCTGCTTACATTAGGAGAACCTCCAGATTTAAGCTGGCTTAACACAAACATACTTCCATGTTGACAATGTCTTTTCCCCCACTGGCTATAAAATGAACCAGAGCTCTTACTAGGGTGCTCAAAAGTAGGAGAATGAAATCCTCTGGTCCCTTTCCAAGCATCCAAACAACCACTACAGAATATGGATAGTGAGAGTGATACAATCATAGAATATCTCAAATCGGAAGGTACCTGTAAGGATCATGGAGTCAAACTCTCTGCTCCTTGCAGGACAGTGAAAACAAGCATTTTAAAATGCTTCTGGGGAAGAGAGAAGCTACCGATTCATACTTGTTGCTTCTGCTTTCTCTTCTACTTCACTACCTCAAGAAGGGAAAATCTTTTCAATGTATCAGTGCGTGCACCCAGCAGTGCTGTGGTTAAGCCCAAGAGGAATCAGCAGTCGGGATCCAGGATTAACTGAAGCCCCACACAGCCGAAGTGTGCCAGACGCCGGCTGTGAGAAGCTCATTTACACCTGCTGGGTATTCTGCTCTGCACCACCACACTCACCATCCCTTCTCATCTGAGATTTTGAAGGCTAAATTCATTTATGATCTAACACGTCTTCCCTGCTCACATCTCTTTCTCTGCAAAACATAGCTGCAGCTAAATGTATCCTCAGGGCTTCAGGAGAGCCATCTGCCTCCAAGGGATGTACGCTCATTCTGAGCCAGGAGGTGCCCACGTCAACCACAACATGCAAAGGCTTCACAGCCGCGGAGCTGCACTTTGCTTCATGCACGTGTTCCACACCAAACACCTCCATCATGCTGCAAAGAACCCCACAGCCACCCCCTAGGACAGCACCGCGCCGCAGAGGGTCCAAACCTCACTCACTCACCAATGTAATCCCCAAGCTCCAGACGTCTGAGCGGACATCGTAGCCTTGCCTGGATGCGCTGGGATCTATCCTTTCAGGCTGAAACAGGAAGAAGGACCAGTCAAACACTGAGCCATGCATGAAGGAATGAGAAGCATCTGCAAATTTAGAAAAAAACTCTAAGGTCATGCCGCTGGGCAGAGCCAGCCCATCCCTAGGGCCAAACTTGTCACCAGGGCACACGTCCACCCCCAGCAGAGAAACATCTTAAGGAATCAATCACTGATTGTAAGGATGTATAGCGTAAAAGGTGATCCATAGCGCAATTCAGCACAATTCAATCGGTGTTGGTTTTTTCTTTTCTACAAGCAGCCTGAGTAATTATTTTGTCCCTAGGGAATCATAAGAATGAGAACGAACATCTCATGCACCAGCCCAGGGAACTGAGGTTTAGCGGTGTCTATCATAACTCCCAACTATCTGCTGGTTGCTTAACCTCAGGGAGTATTAAAAACAATGCATTTTAAAAAAAGCTCTTCTTTCCAAAATTTTGGGTATCCCTTGAAGTCAACTGTGATGTTACAAGTTCTTCAGACATGTTTTCCATAGAAAACAATATCAAGCCAGACATGGGTGATTTGCACCTAAGAGCGAGTTATCCACACAGGTGAACCAGCACAAAATATCTTTATGGTTTGTGTCATCTTTATGAGAAACCTCAATGCTGTAATAATGTAATAATTAAAATGTCAAAAGACACAGGGTCTCATTCAGTTTTGACTACAACAACAATAAAGGGACCTGAACTGCAATTAAATAATAAATTATCAGGTACAGGAAATACTATGAAAGCCCCTGGTTGCTTTGTAAGCTAAATTTTCACAGCATTTCATGGCAGGTGCCAGCTGAGGAGTGCCACACAACGAAGTCCCTTCATGCAACTTCAACCCTCCAGTGTTGAACTACCATGTTCCTGCAATACCTCCCAGCCCCAAGCACTGACAGCGTTTGTGGTTGCTCTTCCTTGCTGCCAGCTCTCCTCTTTGCAGCCCACCACCCACACGGGGCTGTCCCAGCTGTGACTGCTTTCAGACCTCCCCCATCCCCTCCGGCTCCAGGAGCTTTTCCAACAAGGAAACCTGCCCAGGCTACCACCCACACAGAGAAGGGAGAAGTTTCCACCAAGGTTCAGTGGTTCTACATGTGGCTTCTCCTACAACTTTCTTGTCTCCACTACTCCTCAGCACACAGTTGGTTGCCTTCCCAGTGCCACTGATGTGTTTTATCATCCTTACTTCCAGTTACAGCCTCTGCTTTGAAACAGGCCGGTTTCAAAGGCAATGCCCTGAACATGCTCCTTTCCCACCCTCCCAGCTCTGCCCTTCCCTTTCTTACCCTTTGGCTGTGGTTTCTCTTCATCCTAAGCTCATGTATTAGTTATTCCTCTCATGACTTGGATGGACTTTTCAATAATTCTGCTGGGAGGGCAGGAGGGTATGCAAAATAATAAAATTACTAAAATTCAACTCTCTCAACCACCAGCCCTTCACATGCTCACTTTGTAGCTCAGTCAAAAACCAATCCTGTTTATATTGCAGGCAAACTCCTGCTTGTAACTGCTCCCAACCCAGCATCCCGTCTTGCTGGATGAGTTCAGTCCTTCCATATTGAGAACACCACATCAATGGACTACCAAATCAGTTGATAAGGAATTAATAGCTAATACAAGCATCCATTTCTTTAGATATGGCGAACAGAAACACAATGACAATTTCTCCACAATTTTGTACCTAAGACAGTGGGAAAAGTATGTGAAAACAGCAAGAGGAGTAAGGATCTGAACGGAAAATGTGTATTCCCAGCCCTTGCTGCTTGGTTATTTGAGGGAGGAAGGATTGATAAGCAGCGAATATTCAGGATCTGGATACTCTTGGGTGTATCAGGCAGTTACTGGACATTTCAGCAAGAAGAAAACATCTCAAGGGGGAGCCCACGGCTGAGCACTGGCTCACACTCAAGCTCAGGAAGGACAAGAGGAGCTCAGACTGATAAACTGAAGCTATCCTCTGCTCAGAAGTAACACGTGGAATAACATCACCTGATTGGTACAAAAAAAAAGTCAAAATGCTCTCACTTATTTATTTCCGTGAACAAAATTTCCTGAGAAAGCAAATGGAAAATGTCAGCAGTAGGAAGGTGGACAGAAGAACATCAATGACAGACCAGCATTAGATGTGGCCCAGAAGGTACCTCCTCTGTCCCCTCGTACAGAAGGTCACAGACTGAAAAGGAGTTTCCAGGGACTCTCATCAACCACGCTCATGAGTGACGCTGTGTCCACCCTGTCCTGCCTCAACGCCACGGGCAGCATGATGGACCTGCCCCCTGCAACAGCCTTGTTTGCCTTTGCCCACCCCCTAACCCCCTCCAGCATCCCTGGGTCTCAGGCTCCAGACCAGCCGGACTCCATGGGCCCAGCAGCTCCCAGTCCAATGCCAGTCCTGCCACCGCTCTGTGCAATGCTCTGCCTGCATCCTCTTGCCTCCAACCCCCACTGCCAGACACTGGTGGTTCCTCCTGTCCTCTTGGTTCCCAGCAGCAAGAGTGGGTGTGAAGCAGACCAAGCTGTCCCTTCCTTGTCCCTCGGGCACAACGTTGTGGCCAGCAGGCTGAGGGAGATGACTTTCCCCCTCTATTCCACTCCTGTGAGACCCCGCCTGGAGCACTGCATCCAGCTCTGGGGTCCCCAGCACAAGACAGACATGGACCTGGTACAATGGGGTCCAGAGGAGGCCACAAAAATGGTCAGAGGGATGGAACACCTCTGCTACGAAGAAAGGCTGAGAGACTTGGGGTTGTTCAGCCTGGAGAAAAGAAAGTTCCAGGAGACTTCATTGCAGCCTTTCAATAAATAAAAGGGCTTATAAAAAAGACAGAGAAAGACTTTTTACCAGGGCCTGTACTGACAGGACAAGGGGCAATGGCTTCAAACTGGAGGAAGGTAGGTTTAGATTGGACATAAGAAAGACATATTTTATAGTGAGGATGGTGAGACACTAGAACAGGTTGCCCAGAGAAATGTGGATGCCCCATCAGTGGAAGTGATCGAGGTCAAGTTATACAGGACTTTTGAGCAACCTCATCTAGTGAATAGCAGGGGTTTTGGACTATGTCATCTTTGATGGTCCCTTTCAACCCAAACCATCCTGAGATTCGATGTTTTGATGATTGTACCAATGCTACCTGTACCACTCTGGACCAGTGCCCCACAGCAAGGCAGCTATCCAGGGGCATGGTCGCTATCCATGGCAGGCCATAGAAGATGGATTCCCTGGCTGGCATATACCTTCCCACCAAGAAAATCAGAGTTCCTTCGCAGGAACAAGGACCACCTTGTGAGAAGAGACTGTCTTTAGCCCCACACACACCACCATGGGGCACGCCCCCCATGCAATGGATGTTGGTGCGCGGGAATGGCAGCGGGTGGCTCAACCCTGTGTGCTGGTGGGGACACATCATGACATCTGGTGGCTGCTACCAGGGCCCAGCCAGCACAGGGCACACAAAATTATGGAGATGCCAACCTTGCCAGTGATGAGACTCGTACACAGCAGCTCCACAGGGATGTTCTGCAGCAGAGCAGTTCTCTAACGGCAGGAGAAGGACGTGCTGTTGGTGCAGCTCAGTGAATGACAGCAGGTATTTTGGGAAGGGTCTGAAGTACTAAAGGTTGTGTGTCCCTGGGACGGGTGAGGTAGGTGGCAGTGGTGAGACAGAGCTCCTCCTCCCACAGCACCCACAGACCCGCTACCACCACCCAGCAGATGGAGCAACAGGGACTTGGCTCGGGATCCTGGTGGCACAGTTAAAGGGAAAGCAGGATGGACCAAAATAAATCCTGTCCAAATACAGAGCAGAAAGAATCCTGGGAATTTTCCATGTAGATGACATGGGAGCGATTAACACCAAGGAAGGAAGAGTCAGCATGTCACACTCCAGGAACCTGGAACGAGAGCTGCAGACAAAGCCTGGCTCCTGCCAGGTGTCCTAACGCCGAGCGCTAGAGAGGGAAGGAAACAGCTGAGATGGAGACCCTCTTCCATGTGCTGACAGTAAGAGGCAGGGCGTGAATGCATCAAAGACGGGTGCAGGCTGTTGTGGGGCTTCTCTCCATCTCCCTGTCCACCTCAGCACCAGCACCTTGACTGAAAAAAGGAGCAGAGTGGGCAGCACTGATCCTCCCTTGCCTCCAAAGCCCAGCCAGGCAAACACACGCAATTTGGGGTGACACAAGGACATGCACACACAACTCCCTGCAGTCCGCATGTTGCTAAAGAGCAAAGTAGCATTCCTGGGAAAACCCTTTTCTTGAAGCTCGGATCTGGATTTTCTCTGGTTATACAATCACAGAATTTTATCCCGCATGCACTGCAAATTCAAAAGGCCTACATAGCACTGAAATGTACATAACAAATCCTTAGTCGCTAATTAGGCCAGAGCATCCCTAAAGTGGAAGAAAATGAAAGGTGACGAGGAGCGAAGAACAACCAGAAAGAGCTAAATTTTTGCAATACAAAAGGCAGAACAACGTCTAGAGGATACAAACTCTCCCTTTGCTCCGACCATGGGAACAGACGGATGCGAGACGGAAGCTGCCAGCCACTGTTGGAGACTCTCTTCCCACTCTAAAAATGCGGGAAACAAAGTCCAGGGGCATCCCTGGTGTTGGTCGGTGGTGGGAGCAAGGTAAAGTACTGCACATCTGGAAGTGGGGCTGAGGGGGCTGTGGCTGCAGTGCCAGCTGTGCCAAATCCAGCTGCAAAGCCCACAGCGCGATGAGAACCAGGCCAGTCAGGATTAACAGATCTTCACGGCTCTGACAGGAGAGTCTCGAGTCTCGCAGGAGAGAGTTAGGGCTCCCTGGCACACCATTCTGCTGCTGTGTTACCTGAATGCCACGTGTCTTTGTTTAGGGATGCTCAAGACAAAAACGCCATCTCCCCCGTGGTGGTGCCCCTGTTACTGCGGGTTCCTCGCGTGGTGCCCCTCGAGCACTCGCAGAGAGAAGCATCTGTCGCTGCCCGAGGGACTGGGCTCTC